AAAATCTATTCACCAATTTTATGAGCTATTTGCTAACAGGCTATAAAACACATACACAAAAAGGTCAGAAATGTTCTGATAAATTATTATTAAAATCTTGTGGAAATAATTTCACTTTTTTTTGGGATATCAGTTTGTGTTTTGGCTGCTACAGTTCATGATTTCACTTCTAGTAGTTACTATTGTCGGGTTGTGGAAGGATCGACTCCAAATTCAGTTGCAGTTCTTACAAAACCTTAAGTTAATCGAAGAACACAACAAGAACAGGATGGCTCCAAATATAAATTATGTCCAAAATGTGAGAGGTGAAACAGACTGAATACAAAGGGCAGAGGTGATTATGAAAGTGGAGGCTACTCAGTTGATTAATGAACATGTGAGAATGACAGGTGGATAGGAAAAACACAAATGAACAGACAGCTAACTGAGGGCAGATGAATAATGGCACAAATGAACACTGGGTGAGATTGGGTTAGGGCCTAAAAGAGCCAACCCGGCCCAGCCCGAACCCAGTGGTTTTTTTTTTTTCCAAACCTGACCTGATCATTTAACTGTAATTACAGGCCATCCATTATCTTTTACCCACTTCTTCCAGTTTGGGTCACGGGGGTTTCTGGTGCCCATGTCCAGCAATCACTGTGTGAGTGGCGGGGTTCACCCTGGACAGGTCTCCAGACCATCACAGGGACACAGAGACAAACGAGACAAATAACCATTCACTCTCTCACTCACACCTAGAGACAATTTAGAGTTGCCAGTCACTCTAACATGCATGTTTTTGGTCTGTGGGAGGAAACCAGAGTACCAGGAGAAAACCCACGCATGCACAGACAGAACATGCAAACTCCACCCAGAAAGGCCCCTGGACTGGGGTTTGAACCAGGGACCTGCTCACTGAGAGGCAGCAGCTTTACCAGTTGCGCCACCGTGCTGCCCGATACCAGCTTAAAGCTAGAAGAAGAAAAAAAAACTATAAACAAAAGAGAAATAGCGACAAGACAACAGGTCCCACCAGGCCAAAGTTACAAACATTAGACAACAGTTAACAACAAAAATTTGTTGCGTCAGGTTGAGGCCAGTGGCTGCGGCCTACACCATCGAAGCTCATCCTTGTGACAGAATGAGAGAGTGTAAAAAGAGCCTCAAAAAACTAGGGCGGTGTCAGGGTTTCAGGCAGGTCAGGACAGGAGAGAACCCAGTTGTGCAGGCAGGACTCAGTAGACAGGTGTACAAAATAAAATACTTTTAATAATAATAAATCAAAAGGCTGGCATGGCAGCAAAACTTACAAAACAGATTCAGGAACGGGATCAAACAGGATCAGACTTACAGGCAATACCCAACGACGAACCGACACTGACAGGACTAACAGATAGACTTTATATACACAAACAGGACATGAGACACAGGTGATGTTAATCAGACAATCAAAGCAGACACAAGGGAGTACAGACAGGGGAAGGCCCACTAGATGGCGCCATCCCTACAGGCGACCAGGGAGCAAGCAAAAACAAAATGAGCCCATAGAGAGAGAGAGAGATCCTGAAGGCCAGACTATTTATGGGTGGATGGAAAACACCACAGCTCAAATCAAGTCAAGTCAACTTTATTTATAGAGCACATTTAAAACAGAACCTGTTATCAAAGTGCTTAACAACATCATCAATGAGAGTAAAATTAATGAAAAAAAATCATACACTAATAATAATACTGAATAATTAATAAAAAGCATTTAAAAC